ACACACACACACACACACACACAAAGAGGACAAAGAACTCACTGCGCTCAGTGATTTACTCGACATCTGAACCTCTCCATGGCTGACCGGAAGTGGATAACCTGCCCGGAACATGCTGACTGTCCCGGTGTGTTCTTGGCCACCAGGAAACAGATCTAGTGGGACGAACCTGTCGGTACAATAAGAGACACAGTTTAGTTTCAGTAAGAGTTTTACGGCACTTGCAACACAATTAGGTCATATGAGTGCCGACGATTAGAGGTGTTACAAGAGAGTAACAAGCATAAAAAAGGAGGAGAGATAAAGACGATAGTTGTTTGATAGGAAGGAAGGATCATACCACACCAGAGCACGCGCCCACCACCTACTGAGCTGCACAAAAAACATAATACTATTTTTCAAAAAGTAAAGAAACTTTGACGAGAAATAAATATAATTTCTGTTGTATTACTAAAAATAAAGCTTTTCCCGCATAAGATCCGGACATTGGGGATTGCCTTGTTAGTGAAACAACTTCATGGACCTTCGGCATATTGTGGTAAGGTGGCCAGTTCCTTTCCACACCGTCTTTACTTCCCCCAACTCGAAGAAAGGGTACCCAGTACTGCTGGGTGGACAGGGGGGGGGGCAAAAAATATCCGTGTCCGAACCCAGGCTCGAACCCGGAATTTCCGCTTCTGAGACGAGCGCACTAACCGCTCCTCCACAAAAAGCCTCTCTGTTGTATTAATAAAGTTTAAAATACACTACTTTGGTCATATAAAACGCCAACACATCATTACCAAGGAAACACTAAGAAAAGATGCAGAGCACAAAGGCTACTTGTGGAGAGCGAGCGTACAATGTGGACTGACAACATTTCAAAGTATGGACTGGTCTTTATAAGGACAAATTGCACGAGAACAGCTAGCTAGCGACCGTCAGTAAAGGTGGATCTTTACAGGTCAATCAATCTCTGAGCCACAGATGACATTATTATCGTTCACTTCATATGTAAGAAGCAAGGTGGATGTGTGTGTGTGTGTGTGTGTGTGTGTGTGTGTGTGT